TTGTCCAGCATTACCTGGGTGAACCTATATTCAATGACAACTATTCTATTAGACAATAAAAGAGAAGACAAGTAGGGTTAAAGCCATGTGAAGACTAAAGCAGGAATATGAATTATGCAGCCACAAGAAAAAGAATGCTTAAATCCATCAGCATTTAGAAGAGTCAAGGAAGGAGTGTTCCCCAAATAGTCAGGGAATTGACACAGAGGAGTGGGGCTACAGTATAAAGCTGACAGCATAGATTCTACAGGCAGACTGTTGGTTTCATAAAATACTGCTGATTTCTGAGATATTATTCTGCTTGTAAGTTATTTGGATTTTTTTGAAGCATGCACTAAAATATATCATCCCTTCAAAGAACTTTCTTCAGGAATAAAGAAATAATGGTGACAGTATTTTTTCTCTTCTTCCTGATGTGAAAACATGTTGTATTAGTTACCCGTACAATGACAAGTGCCAGCAAGCTGATGACCTCTCCCTCTTTTTTTCTGGAAACAAGCAAAACATAATCTGCAAACAAAAAATCAAAAAGCACAAAAAAATTTTTGAAAAAATTTAAGGAACAGAATGTAAAGTTATCACTCATTTGTAGATCTAATAATATCTCTGCAGAGTAAGTAATATAAAGTCTTAATAGCTGTAGAATTGATAGACACAACTTTGGCCAGGATATCTGTCATTTTTTAAGTTTCTAAGAAATCAATCTTTTCAGACTTTCTTTTTATGTGCCTAATCTTTTATGTATTCTATTTATAAAGGCAGCACAGATATGGAAACATAAACAGCAACATACTTACCTTTTTCTATGTATGGAATAATTATATTTATTAACAAAATTTAATATTTTGACATAGTTTACTCAAATTGAATAATTTACTACCAAAAGGCTAATCTACACACACTTATTAAAATAGGTCTTATTTAGTAAAATACTCCTCTAGCTTCTTTGTTGTTACTTCTTAAGCTTTCCCAGACACCCAGTCTGGCTACAAAGGGTGGTATTAAATAAAATCATAAACATTGACTAATAGTAATATGTAGTATATATAGTGCATAAATTAAAGCATATATTATATTATTAATACATTAAAGAAAGCAATATATGTAAGGGAGATTAGCTCAAAGAAAATGTAAAATATTAATAGTGAATCCTATGTATTTTGTCATCATATTGATACTTTGAGACTAAAAACATCTAGATTAATTAGAATAATTCACATTTTAACATTTGCATTACCACTATTGCCTCCCTTAAATGACAATATGTTTAAGGAACAAATGATGAATGTGCACACACACACACAAACACACACACACACACACACACACACACACACACACCGAACTAATTCTAGCATTTGCAACAAAGTTTATGAAATCATTTAATTTGGCTGGTGATATATATTAGTGGCACAGCCCCTGCCTGGTAAGCACAAGGTCCTGAGTTCAATTTATGATGCAAACAAAAAAAACAAACTGAAACAAAACAAATCATTTAATCATTTAGGTTTTCTATGCTTTTAAAAGCATTTAATCATTTAGATACTCTATGCTCTACTCTGTATGTCTCCGTTGAATAAACAATTTTTGATACCCTTTTTAGATTTCCAATTAGGATATGAAATTAATATAAATGAGGCTAAAAAGACACATTGAATATTTTTCAGTAAAGCAAACACTGTGGACTTTGTAGAACCCCCCACTCACCCATCCAAATAATTGAAATGTAAAAATGAGTGTACTCAAGAAATAATGTGCTAATATTATTCCACATTTGACCCTTGTATGGTTAAACTTCTATTTAAACTCCACATCATCTAGGTCTTTTTCCATTGAATAGTGATGAGCATGTTATATTTCAAAAGTTATGACTATAATTATCTTTTTCCTCAGTTCAGCAAATTATGAATGTCAGTGCCATTCAAAGGCTGCAAGCATTTTAATATCACATATTAAATTTAAGTATTGATGTGTATTGTCTTTGATTATAGAGATGAGAATAATGCAATGAGGGAAATGCATACGGGACTTTTTAGATTGAGTTTTATGAAGACTAAGCAGGGAGTATTTGATTATATCTTTTAAACTGTACATAGTGATTATACTGCGTTTGGAGAGTAGACTAAGGCTTGTAAGAAACTGAAAATAAAGGATAGAGAAAAATCATTCTTGTTACATAGAATCTTTGTGTCTTAACTTACTTTTTACTTATTGCTGGTACAAAATACCTGGCTTCCAAAATGAAGGAAGGAAAGATTTGTGTCTTACAGTTCTTGGAGTTTCAGTCCATACTTAGTTGATTCCAAGGCAGACTGGTGTGCAGCCCTTCAAGGCCACTACAGACAACAAAATTGAAAGCAAAAGCAAAAAGAGAAAGACACACCTTCTTCTTGCCGACATCTCCTGGCTCCAACCCTAGGCAAGTGTAGTACTCACACCACCAATCCGAGCACTACACAATGAACCAATCACAAATGCTAGATTTGGTTGTGTCCATATTTGCATGAGGCTTGGGGGCCACTGACATAAAACACGACACTTGGGTTATGAGAAACTTTGTCAATGAAGATACAATTTGGTATAAAATAAAAGTGTGGCTCGTGGAGGTATATAAATCTGGGTTTGAATAATGGCTCTACCACTTATTTGTGGTATGACATGTTAATGGCATGAAACATAGTTTCTCAGTTATACAGAGAGTTTAATGATAGCTTTTACCTCACAATGTGCTTGTAGAATAAATTGGGTGATATATGTGAAATGCTTGGCCCAGTGCCAAGATATGGAAACACAATAGATGCCCTATTTATCATGTGTTATGCTCATTGAAAAAAGGTATAATTTGATATGTTGGTAAATTGAAGCCTAGGCAGTTTAATTTGGAGGAGACTTTAAATATATCTTCAGTTTTTTTTTCTTTCTTTAATAATATGTGTAACATCAACATTTTCTTTGAGCACTATCTACTTACAGTTTTATAATCAGGGTAACTTTTTTGAGCTTTCGTATTTTTTTCTTTTAAGTCTGTGGTATATCAATGTCCCCCAAATTTTCTTGCTTTTTAAAAAAGCCTCTACTTTTTAAGATACTTTTTCTTGCTTTAAAATATATATTAATGTCAATCCTATCTAGAACACAATTAGTAAATTGTCCTTTAATTTTTCTCTCTTTATCATTAGCTTATGGGGTCTGTTTTTTTTAACTTCCTTATCAACTCTTGATTTCTAGAAAATTATTTAGTTCATAGTTAATGTCTCATTCCTTCTCACAGTTTATCACTGTTTGCATTATTGCAGCAGTTAATGCACAAGAACCCATTCTGAAAGAAAACTTGTTTAAAATGTGATGCTTTTCCTTTCCTAAACCATTGACTGTTTCTAGAATTATTAAACTAAAAAAATTTTTATCCACTTATTCTATCCAGTCTAGAAAATTTGGCAATTTTGACTTATTTTTAAGATCTTCACATGAATTACATTTTACTTGTAAATCACCCACTAATTTTACTTGTTAAATTACCTATCAAGTTCATGTTCTCTTTATGTCTTTATCTCTAATATCACTGCCCTGGTTTAGTTTCTTGTACTCTCTTATTGTACAGTAGTATAATTTTTTTTCTCTAAACTTCTCATTCTCTATCATATCTTTTCAGCTCGCTGCCCTCGCATATGTATCAATATGTGCCATCTTCTATAGACATCTAAAAATGTCACTTACTCCACTCAAAACTGCTTATCAATTTCTGCTTTCTGTAGTAGTAGTTTTCAAAATTTAACATTTTAAATTTTAAGAGCAAAATTTCACCAAGAATTCAATATAGAAGAACATATTTCTAGTGATTTAAGGTTCGTAATTCTAATTCTCAATTACATGGAAAAAAAAAATTCTTGACCAGTGTGATGAAAGTCAAAAACAACCATCATCAAAGGAGGTCTTTCCTCATAACAAAATTCATCTTTTATTTCTTACATTGCTATAAATATTGTCATATTGATTGCTTTAAATTTTTTGTCTTTGTTACCTTTCTGAAAATGTTTAGAAAGATTATCAATTCATCTGTCCATACAAGTGCCTCTGTCTATATTTTTTCTCTTGAGTTTTCTATTTTTAGACAAATTACCTGCTCCCTAGATTCTCTAAATAAGAATGGTATTTATATCATAAACAGTTTGTTGGATGCTAATAATATTGATAACTCCCATCAATTTATGTATTAAATTTACCACCATCCCATGTGTACTTGCATCTTAAAACTTGACTTCAATGTTTAAGGACAAAATGAATTACAGTATTTTATCTCTGATTCTAACAGTCTCTGATTTTAACAGTTTTAATGCTAGGATTATATGGTGCTACTTTATTGGCAGCAAATATGCATATGAAGAACTTACCTCAAATATATTCTTATCTTGTTGAAATTAGATTGAGAATATTTAGAATATCATGTAAATTTTGCCAAAGACAAATATTTTATGGTGCTACTTTATTGGTAGCAAATATGCATATAAAGTTCTTACCTCAAATATGTATTCTTATTTTGTTAAAATTAGATTGACAATATTTAGAATATCATATAAATTTTGCCAAAGACATGATTTCTAAATAATAATGTATACCAAAAGGCATTCTTTTTATTCTATCAGGATTAAACTTACAAAATATAAAATACACATAGACTTTTAAATAAGGCTTTTTCAGTCAGTCTGTCTATGTGTTTGAGGAAAAACTGAAGGTACAATGTTAAGAATGACCTATTTTGTAAGCAAACATTATTCATAAATACATACAATGCCGAGAATTGTAAAGTACTACTCATTTTAGTTTATAAATGATCTGTGATAGGTAATTAGATCAGTAGAATGTAGTCCAACAATCAACAGAAGCCCTAAAGCAATTTAGAGTCCTTTCAAATCTTTAAAAAAAAATCCAATAAGCACTTGAAAAACAAAATCAATACTTCTAAATGTTTCTTTTTTTTTTTTTTTTTTAATTTGCCGCAGGGTCCAAGTTTTCTCTCTGAGGCAGTTTTTCCTCAACATGCAATAAAAATTGAAGAAATGGATCCTTTCTTCAATCTTCATGAAACTATCACCAAGGTAGGGGAAAAAGGATACATGGATTTATGAACAGGATGGGGAAAGCTGTATTTTGTTGTTGGTCTGCTTGCCTTTTATCATGAATGTGGAAAGGAAAATAACCAACCAAAAGTTATGTATGTATTTGCATCTGTAAAATATACTAGAAAGAATTTTGGTAATCCTATTTCTAAAGAGTAAAAATCATAACCAATTTAAACAAAAACCAATAAATTTATTCGTGTTTATACAGATCCAGAACTGATAATATCTTTTAAAAAAATCAATCCTCAGACAATTAACAACTCTTCAGCTTAATCTGAAAATAGATTTGTGTTACATACATTTAAAAATTTTTATTTTTACTAGTTTATGTTTTCAGAACAAAATGATTACATTTTCTGGGTGTATTAACATCTATATAATGTGTCTTAATTTTATACTAAGACACTTTATATTCCCTTCCACATTCTCATTCCCTCCATCTCTTTGTCCCCATTCATTTACAAAAGATGTAGTTTTGTATAATTTATCTTATATTTTACAGTTTCTTTATATTTTATATTTATCCTATAGGAGAAATATAAAATAATTAAGCTTATATGTCTGATTTATTTAATAATAATATTATGGTCTTGAAGTGCATCCATTTTCCTATGAAGGACTCAACTTTATCCTTCTTTGTAACAGAATAATACTCCACTATGCATAAGTACTACCTTTTCTTTATACATTCATCTGTTGATGGACACATAGGCTAATTTTTCTTCTGTTTTTTTGAGGCTGGATGCTTCTATGCAATTCAGGCTGGCCTTGAACTCCAGGCAGTCCTCCTGCCTCAGCCTCCTGATTACTAGGATTACAAGTGCACCACCACGCCTATCTCTAGACTGCTTTTGAAATTTACCTTTTATGATTTGTGCTGCTATAAAAATAGGTATGCATGTGTCATTGTTATGTGATATTTTAAATTCTCTTTGGAAGAAACACCTATGTCAAATAGTTTCTAGTTTTAATATTTGATGAATCTCTATAGTGATTTCCATAGTGATTGTAGCAGTTTACATTCCTTCCAACAGTGTGGAAGGGTTCTTTTTCCTGCCCAGTCTTTCTAGCATTTGTTATTATTTGAGTTCTTGTAGCTATTCTTTCTGGAGTAAGCTGAAATCTCAGTGTTTTTTAATTTACAGTTGTCTGATGGTGTTACAGTTTTTGGCTAGAAGCCTCCACAAAGGTGTATGCACTTTTAAAAGGAACTTTTTCAGAGGCTGCTGGTGATTGATTCATGATTTAATGCTAGGATTAAAAGTGCTGGGATTAACGCTGGGTAATCCTGGAGCAGCTCACTGATTGCATTGGCACTTCTCTAATCCCAGTTCTCTGTGTACATGTAAGACACAGAACTAATTTTATTACCCTGTCTCTGTCATTGCTTCACTGTCTTCTTCCGCCATGAATTGTTGCCCCTCCGCCACGCATCACCTGCCGTGGGGCTAACTGATTACGGACTGAAACCTTTACAAGCTCTAAGGTAAATAAAGGTTTCCCCTTTTAACTTTGGGTGTCAGATATTTTCTCTCAGTAATGAGACACCAGTAACTAAAACAAATAGCTAGTGACTTTTTAAATATATTTATTGACCAGTTTGGAATTTTTCTTTGAAATAATGTCTATTCATTTTAGTTCTTCATTTTTATTGGGTCTTTTATTAAAGATAATCTAATTTTGGTCATTCTTTACACATTCCAGATATTAGTCCACTGTCTGAAGTACAGAAAACTAATATTTTGCCCATTTTATAGATTTCACTCTATTGGTTTTTCTTTTGCTGTGGAGAAGCTTTTAAATTTGATATCATCCCACTTGTTGATTCTTGACTTTATTTCTTATGCAAATAGAGTTGTCTTCAGAAGGTCTTTGTCTGTACCTATGACTTCAAGAGTTTCAGCTCTTCTATTTTCCAGCAGTTAAATGTTTCTGTTTTAAATATTTAGATCTTCGATCCATTACGTTTTTAATGCATGGTTAGAGATATGTGCTCTAGTTCTGTCTCCGGTATGTATGTAGCCAGTTTTTCCACAGCATTTTTTAAAGACAGTCTTTCCTCCAGCGAAAGTATTTGGCTCTTTTGTCGAAGTAAAGCACTGAGTCTGCCTGAAGTTGTTTCTGCATCATTTATTCTCTTCCAGTGATACACAAGTCTGATTTTTTGGCTGCTACCATGATGTTTTTTCACTTATTTGCATGTTTTCTTGGTTTTGTTTTTGTTAGTTGCTGTTTTTTTAATGGCTATATCTTCGAGGTACAACTTGAAGTCTGAGATTGTGATGTTCTCTACCTTGCCCTTCTTGCCTATAACTGTTTCTTTTCTTTTCTTTTTATTATTTTTTTTTGTCTATTTCGGGTCATTTTTGATTGTATAAGAATTTTAGGGTTGATTTCTCTAGTTCTGTTAGAAATGTTGCTATTTTGATTGGGATTGCATTAAATCTGTACAACAGTTGTAGAAGTATGGCCATTTTGACCCCTTTAATTTTGACTATCCAAGAACAGAAAATCTTTTTATTTTCTGATATTTCATTCAACCTCTTTTTCTTTTCTTTTTTTCAGAGTACTATAGTTTCATTTAGAGGTATTTCACTTTCTTGGTTAGGTGAATTTCTAAATACTTCATTTTCTTGATATTGTTATAAAAGGCATTGCTTCTCTAATTTCTCCCTTGAAGAGTTTCTTATTGGTGTACAAGAATACCATTGATCTTTGTGTTATGACTTTGTATCCAACTATGCTACCAAATTTGATTATAATTCTGGAAGTCTTTTTGTGGTGTTTTTATCATCTTCTAAGTAGAAGATAATACCATCTGTAAAGAATGATAATTATTAATAATTTTCTTACTCATATCTACTCTGTTTCTTTCTCTTGTCTAATTGTTATGGCTAGTATTTTGAGACCTATATTGAACAGGAGTGGTGACAGCAAACATATTTTTCTGGGTCTGATTTTAGAGAGAAAGTCTTTGGCATTCCTCCATTTAATATCATTTTGGCCATTGGCTTGTTGATATCAGGTTGAGATAAAGACCTTCTAAACATATTTTCTTTAGGGTTTTTATTATTAATGGATGTTGCAGTTTGTCAAATATTTTTCCTGCATCTATTAAGATGATCATGTGACTGTTGTTCTGTGAAAATTATTTTTATAGCTGAGCAAGGCCTAGAGTTCTGGGGTTTTGTAAGTGTAGACAGTATTTGAATTGCTGGCAGGAAGTATGCAGATGAGTGGAAGGGTATTTAGAGATTGAAGGAGGCTGTGAAATTGTGAAAACATGTTAATGTTTTGTGAATATAATTGTAAATTGTACAATGTCACTTGAAAACAGAAGTGTGAGGCAAAATTTTGTTTTCATTTGTGAAGCTTCCATCAGTTGATGAATACTACTGTGGCCATCTCCCTCTGAATCTGCAACCTGGTTGTAAGCTATGCTCGGTGTATGCAGGTTTTTGCAGTGTATGCAGGTTTTTGTTGATCAATTTGCCCCAGTTGATTTGAGGCCTCATTCCAATTCTTTCCCAAGGTGACACAAATTCAAGGTCTGATGTGGGGGATCCAGGAGGGTGTTACCTCACTCATGCCCTACACAGAATTTTAATCCAGCTACAATCTCTTTGAATTTATCCTCTTCTGTTAGACTTCAGTATTCTTCAGCATCAACCTGGAGACATTCACCCTGGCAATAATCCTAAAAATCTCCTCACTTCAGACTAATGGTAATACAGAAAAGGTGTTTAATTTTCTCTGTACAAGGAAAATACTTGTTTTTTTTTTTTTTTTTTTTTTGGTACATTTACTTGCAATGAAAAGTACTTTTGCTTTTTGTACCAGGGATTGAACTCATGACTTCACACTTGCCAGGCAGGTGCTTATGCTGCTGAGCTGAATCCCCACAAAGTACTCCATTTTTAAAGAAAGTACTTAGGCATGTATACTTTCATTTTCACTATATTTTTCCTACTCGTGAGTTTACTATATGAAGAAAACTAAGTTTTATAGTATGAAGCAATAAATTTAATGTTTATGATATATGAATTTCTATGTTTATGAATTATTTATAAACCTGTCTATATCAGCCTTGTAGAGACTGATACTGTAGAGAATACTGGGATTTCAGTACCATTCAAATAACCCATATTTATATATGCTTACTTGAAAGCTTTAGTCATTCTTAAATCTTAAAAATTTTACAAGGCTATTTTTCTCCTTTAAAAAGAAGTGTGATAATATGAGCTGAGCTCAAGTGTTGACAAAATGATCTCAGAATATAAAGACTAGGATCTATGTCTATCTCTGACATTTAAGAGCTTTGTGAATTATTTTTCTTCTAAATATTTATAATAATTTGAAATTATACTCTACTTAAAATTCTAATATCAAAATATCTGGATCTTAACTACACTGTTAACGTTTCCTTTTCCTTTCTACTTCCCCAGTTCCTTGATTTAGTTTTAGTATCTCTATCCTTTTAAATTGCCCATTTTTATCTGTATGTGATAAGTTAGAAATATTTCTCGAGCATTTCTTTAATATTAAAAAATCTTATCTGTAGTCCTAACCTTAATATATATATATATATATATACATACATACAGAGAGAGCTATAAATACACACTGATGTTCAAGACCTCCGGCTATGGCTACAGGAAATAACTAAAATCTCTAAGAACATGTTAGAATGCAGAGATGGGTCAGGAAAGAACTAGGGGACCCCGGAGGATATTTTAAGCACACATAAGAGATCTCCACATAATGTGAAGTGGACAGAAGATAGGAGACCATTAAAGAGAAGACACAAATTTGTCTGTATGTGTTCTACATATATTTTTGAATATATTTTATGTAGTAAACAAATTTCATTAAACCAGTAAATGGATAGAGCGAAAAACACTGTCTGTTAAAAACTAGAACCCACTTAAGTGCAGAAGTGAGTTGTGTGGAAACGTTCGTGATCACGTACTCATCCG